GGGGGGGGGGGGGGGGGGGAGCGATGGGGTTCAAAGTAAAAAACCTTTCATGGAAGAGGTATGGATATTTTCTGGAACAACACATTGTTATTTGTAAAACTACGTCAGAAACAAAATTATCCCCATGAATATCCCTTTTCATGACCCTTCTGGAATATACTGGTAAATCAAATTGAAAAAAGAACACTAACATAAACAGAGGCTCAAATTTTGTTCAAGGGAAGAGATGCAAGGTCAGTAGTTTCTTAACTTCTCAACAGACTTGTTGAAATCTGATGCTTCCTCTTGAGAGCACTTACTTTCTGACTGTGAAATGTTGACTTCTCCACTCTGAACACAATGAATATGAGTTTTCTAAAACAAGCCAAAAAAAAAATTAGCAACACAAATGCATATATTATTAAAGAGTCTACATCAACTCCTTGTTAAGCATAGATTTTTACATGACATTATTTAATGGTCCATTTACTGAATAAATTTAGTAACCTCATTCTAATATCCTAATTCCAATATGCCCTCCCCTAGTCAAAGAGAGTTTTCTAATAAACACCCTACTGTAACAACCCCACTTGCCACCACTATGTTGGTATTGGTACTCTTATTTTCTATTATTATTTTCCATTATAGTAGCACCATAAGTACTGAGTTCAGTTTGGGTGAGTTGAAAATGATTTGTTTTGTCAGAATTACTTTAAATCAATTAGAACCCAAATAAATTTCATAAGTGCCCTGAATACTTAATCAAATTGGTAAGTTTCATTATGGTATGTTGACAAATTAAGACTAGTTATAATCACTTCAATAGTTCTTTTGTGCTGTTGTGCTCATAATCTCAACCAAGTACTAATTGTTGGAGAAAAGTTTGTGAGGGCTTTAAAACTTTCAGACAATAATTTTACTGGAGTGAGGCAATATATCCTGCAGTGCAGACTACTGAAAGGTCCAAGAATGCTTCTGTAAAACCAAATATACATGTAACACAAGCGTCGTTCTTGAGATTAGGACACATTCTATCTTCAATGTTCACTGACAGCTACTCACACAGTCTGCAAAGATATCCACGGTCACTAGGCGCTCTCGATGGTTGAGTACCTCTTCATCATCCTCAGATTGTTTCTCAGAATGTGAATAGTCTTGACTTTCATCTTTACTGCTGTTAGTAATAACATCATTACTAGTAGAACTCAGTTTAGTTTGTGAAATGCATGGAGCCCGTTTTGTTGAGTTCAGACCAGATGAAACAACACTTGGGACATCCTGTTTACAAATTGCTTGTAATGAACAGGCTCCAGAGGCTCTGTCATCTGCACTACAGGCATTTTGACTATCTTCCTGCATAATAAGGAAAGTTAGTTACATGAATAGAATGTACAAAATAAAGAAACCAAATTTTGTAGCAGTAAACAACAATTTTTGCCAGCTTAAGTAAATGTCAGCATCATGTGGTCAGCACTGCATGCCATCCACCAGAACCACCAACCTCTTACATGTAAGACTTACTAGTTAGTGATTTTTTTTATAAGTGATTTTAACGTTCAAGTCTATGTGGGTAAAGAAAATACACAATACAGTCGAACCTCAAGTTGCGACCACCTCTCATAAGTGACCACCTCTCCTCAGCGACCAGTGTTCCAAAATGCCAAAAGTTTCCAAGTCGAATCACTATATTTGGAATCTCTTGTAAGCGACCACCTCTCTTAGGCAACCACAACCACTTTTAGAGCTAGAAGTTTGAAATTTTCTGTTGTTCTCA